AACAAAAACAAAAACAAAAACAAAAACAAAAACAAAAACAAAAACAAAAACAAAAACAAAAACAAAAACAAAAACAAAAACAAAAACAAAAACAAAAACAAAAACAAAAACAAAAACAAAAACAAAAACAAAAACAAAAACAAAAACAAAAACAAAAACAAAAACAAAAACAAAAACAAAAACAAAAACAAAAACAAAAACAAAAACAAAAACAAAAACAAAAACAAAAACAAAAACAAAAACAAAAACAAAAACAAAAACAAAAACAAAAACAAAAACAAAAACAAAAACAAAAACAAAAACAAAAACAAAAACAAAAACAAAAACAAAAACAAAAACAAAAACAAAAACAAAAACAAAAACAAAAACAAAAACAAAAACAAAAACAAAAACAAAAACAAAAACAAAAACAAAAACAAAAACAAAAACAAAAACAAAAACAAAAACAAAAACAAAAACAAAAACAAAAACAAAAACAAAAACAAAAACAAAAACAAAAACAAAAACAAAAACAAAAACAAAAACAAAAACAAAAACAAAAACAAAAACAAAAACAAAAACAAAAACAAAAACAAAAACAAAAACAAAAACAAAAACAAAAACAAAAACAAAAACAAAAACAAAAACAAAAACAAAAACAAAAACAAAAACAAAAACAAAAACAAAAACAAAAACAAAAACAAAAACAAAAACAAAAACAAAAACAAAAACAAAAACAAAAACAAAAACAAAAACAAAAACAAAAACAAAAACAAAAACAAAAACAAAAACAAAAACAAAAACAAAAACAAAAACAAAAACAAAAACAAAAACAAAAACAAAAACAAAAACAAAAACAAAAACAAAAACAAAAACAAAAACAAAAACAAAAACAAAAACAAAAACAAAAACAAAAACAAAAACAAAAACAAAAACAAAAACAAAAACAAAAACAAAAACAAAAACAAAAACAAAAACAAAAACAAAAACAAAAACAAAAACAAAAACAAAAACAAAAACAAAAACAAAAACAAAAACAAAAACAAAAACAAAAACAAAAACAAAAACAAAAACAAAAACAAAAACAAAAACAAAAACAAAAACAAAAACAAAAACAAAAACAAAAACAAAAACAAAAACAAAAACAAAAACAAAAACAAAAACAAAAACAAAAACAAAAACAAAAACAAAAACAAAAACAAAAACAAAAACAAAAACAAAAACAAAAACAAAAACAAAAACAAAAACAAAAACAAAAACAAAAACAAAAACAAAAACAAAAACAAAAACAAAAACAAAAACAAAAACAAAAACAAAAACAAAAACAAAAACAAAAACAAAAACAAAAACAAAAACAAAAACAAAAACAAAAACAAAAACAAAAACAAAAACAAAAACAAAAACAAAAACAAAAACAAAAACAAAAACAAAAACAAAAACAAAAACAAAAACAAAAACAAAAACAAAAACAAAAACAAAAACAAAAACAAAAACAAAAACAAAAACAAAAACAAAAACAAAAACAAAAACAAAAACAAAAACAAAAACAAAAACAAAAACAAAAACAAAAACAAAAACAAAAACAAAAACAAAAACAAAAACAAAAACAAAAACAAAAACAAAAACAAAAACAAAAACAAAAACAAAAACAAAAACAAAAACAAAAACAAAAACAAAAACAAAAACAAAAACAAAAACAAAAACAAAAACAAAAACAAAAACAAAAACAAAAACAAAAACAAAAACAAAAACAAAAACAAAAACAAAAACAAAAACAAAAACAAAAACAAAAACAAAAACAAAAACAAAAACAAAAACAAAAACAAAAACAAAAACAAAAACAAAAACAAAAACAAAAACAAAAACAAAAACAAAAACAAAAACAAAAACAAAAACAAAAACAAAAACAAAAACAAAAACAAAAACAAAAACAAAAACAAAAACAAAAACAAAAACAAAAACAAAAACAAAAACAAAAACAAAAACAAAAACAAAAACAAAAACAAAAACAAAAACAAAAACAAAAACAAAAACAAAAACAAAAACAAAAACAAAAACAAAAACAAAAACAAAAACAAAAACAAAAACAAAAACAAAAACAAAAACAAAAACAAAAACAAAAACAAAAACAAAAACAAAAACAAAAACAAAAACAAAAACAAAAACAAAAACAAAAACAAAAACAAAAACAAAAACAAAAACAAAAACAAAAACAAAAACAAAAACAAAAACAAAAACAAAAACAAAAACAAAAACAAAAACAAAAACAAAAACAAAAACAAAAACAAAAACAAAAACAAAAACAAAAACAAAAACAAAAACAAAAACAAAAACAAAAACAAAAACAAAAACAAAAACAAAAACAAAAACAAAAACAAAAACAAAAACAAAAACAAAAACAAAAACAAAAACAAAAACAAAAACAAAAACAAAAACAAAAACAAAAACAAAAACAAAAACAAAAACAAAAACAAAAACAAAAACAAAAACAAAAACAAAAACAAAAACAAAAACAAAAACAAAAACAAAAACAAAAACAAAAACAAAAACAAAAACAAAAACAAAAACAAAAACAAAAACAAAAACAAAAACAAAAACAAAAACAAAAACAAAAACAAAAACAAAAACAAAAACAAAAACAAAAACAAAAACAAAAACAAAAACAAAAACAAAAACAAAAACAAAAACAAAAACAAAAACAAAAACAAAAACAAAAACAAAAACAAAAACAAAAACAAAAACAAAAACAAAAACAAAAACAAAAACAAAAACAAAAACAAAAACAAAAACAAAAACAAAAACAAAAACAAAAACAAAAACAAAAACAAAAACAAAAACAAAAACAAAAACAAAAACAAAAACAAAAACAAAAACAAAAACAAAAACAAAAACAAAAACAAAAACAAAAACAAAAACAAAAACAAAAACAAAAACAAAAACAAAAACAAAAACAAAAACAAAAACAAAAACAAAAACAAAAACAAAAACAAAAACAAAAACAAAAACAAAAACAAAAACAAAAACAAAAACAAAAACAAAAACAAAAACAAAAACAAAAACAAAAACAAAAACAAAAACAAAAACAAAAACAAAAACAAAAACAAAAACAAAAACAAAAACAAAAACAAAAACAAAAACAAAAACAAAAACAAAAACAAAAACAAAAACAAAAACAAAAACAAAAACAAAAACAAAAACAAAAACAAAAACAAAAACAAAAACAAAAACAAAAACAAAAACAAAAACAAAAACAAAAACAAAAACAAAAACAAAAACAAAAACAAAAACAAAAACAAAAACAAAAACAAAAACAAAAACAAAAACAAAAACAAAAACAAAAACAAAAACAAAAACAAAAACAAAAACAAAAACAAAAACAAAAACAAAAACAAAAACAAAAACAAAAACAAAAACAAAAACAAAAACAAAAACAAAAACAAAAACAAAAACAAAAACAAAAACAAAAACAAAAACAAAAACAAAAACAAAAACAAAAACAAAAACAAAAACAAAAACAAAAACAAAAACAAAAACAAAAACAAAAACAAAAACAAAAACAAAAACAAAAACAAAAACAAAAACAAAAACAAAAACAAAAACAAAAACAAAAACAAAAACAAAAACAAAAACAAAAACAAAAACAAAAACAAAAACAAAAACAAAAACAAAAACAAAAACAAAAACAAAAACAAAAACAAAAACAAAAACAAAAACAAAAACAAAAACAAAAACAAAAACAAAAACAAAAACAAAAACAAAAACAAAAACAAAAACAAAAACAAAAACAAAAACAAAAACAAAAACAAAAACAAAAACAAAAACAAAAACAAAAACAAAAACAAAAACAAAAACAAAAACAAAAACAAAAACAAAAACAAAAACAAAAACAAAAACAAAAACAAAAACAAAAACAAAAACAAAAACAAAAACAAAAACAAAAACAAAAACAAAAACAAAAACAAAAACAAAAACAAAAACAAAAACAAAAACAAAAACAAAAACAAAAACAAAAACAAAAACAAAAACAAAAACAAAAACAAAAACAAAAACAAAAACAAAAACAAAAACAAAAACAAAAACAAAAACAAAAACAAAAACAAAAACAAAAACAAAAACAAAAACAAAAGAAAAATAATAATTGATTTTTTTTAACCTAATAACACAATGAAACATTTTATTTTGTAAATTTTTTTTTATAGAAAGTATAACTAACAGTATTACACCCAAAAAAAAAAATACAAAATAAAAACTCAAGACACTCATTTTATATGATTTTTTTAAGAGCACTGGATTTTATTTTAAATAACATACGCACAAAATTAAGTGAACAAACAAATCCAATTTTTAAAAACTGCTTTTATACAAAAAAAACAAAAAAACAAAAAAAAAAACTATTTTTTAAATTAAAATTAAGAGCACCGAATTATTATTATTTTTTTAAAAAGACACAAAAAAAAGTTAAGTAAACAAACAATTCAATTTTTTAAAAACATAATTTATATTAGTAAAAAAAACAAAAACTTAAAAAAAATGACTGTGTCAAAATTTTAAAAAAAAAAAAAAAATCCACAAATTAGAAGTACTTCATGAGATCTTTCAATTAGTGAAAAACATTTGAAAATTTTCGTGCGAGAATACATTATTTTTAAGTTATCATTTTTCATGCCGGACAAATAATTTGGGACAAAGGGAGTTAATTAATTACAGAATTCTACTAATTAGTACATATAAAAATATGTAAGTTCTGCCGCCGGGGGGGGGGTGGTTGTCCCCACCAGCTCCTCCCTGTATCCACCATTGACTGTACTGTGTAGATACACACACACACATGCACAAACACATAATTCGTAGATGTCACCTGGCTATTGAATGGAGAATGTTTATAAGCAAAACTCAAAAGTATCCCAATAACATATTAAGATTCAGATTTTCACTAGACTACTGAGAAATGAACACGACACCCAAATTGGCCTAATATTTTTAGTTTACAAAACAATTAATTATAAACCACAAAAGATCACCTCAAAAAATTTTGCCCGATGCTTTGCCATAAAGATGGAGGGTACCAATAGTGCAAAAAGCTTCTCATAGAAGTTAGGATACTCAAGGCCATGCTGTGTCATAAGAATGTACAAGCTGCTAAGAGCCATGACACTGATAACACCTCCAATGTCATATGATCTCGTCAGAAAATCACTGCATATTGTGAGGTAAAGTATCAGATGTAAGTATAAATTAAGTAAGAAAGCTTAGAAAAGAAAACGATATCTCAGCATGCGGGCTCACCATAACATGATTGGGTTTGACAAATAAGGGATAACTGCCTGATGAAGTGTAACAAGAACCTGAACATCAGAAGACAGGCAGGGAAACACACGTCATAAGAAAGTTGTGATAAGGATTAAATGAAACTAATAACTCAAAAGAACAAAGAAAAAGCTACATAATGTAATATGAATGAAGAGTCAGATGGGCATAACTGGCAGCATGAAGCTCAGGGAAAGACGTGTTTTTAAACCAATCATTACCAAAAAGCAGTTTAGAGTTAGTGAAGTCTGAAAGATCAACTCAAATCCAATAATGAATTCACTTTATTGGCTCAAAATAAGCATAGAGAAAGAAATTAGAAAGTCAGTCTAAAAATCAATAGTGAAGACAAATCAAACCATGCACCAAGAGTCTAATTGGATCCAATCAATAAAAAACAAAAACAAAAACAAAAACAAAAAAACAAATTAAACAATCAATATGCACAAGAGCAAGAAGTAACTGTCACTATGAGGTTTACCTCCTTGTACAAATCAACCGGGAGTGGTAACCTAAGAAATGATATCCAAGCTTTAGTAAACTTCAATTTCATCTTTTTGGCAATATTAACTGCAGACAATACCTGAAAACAATAAAATCCTAAAACATTGGTACTGCAAATAAAGTATTACAAGAACCAGAAATACTTTTTGCGTATTACTTAGGTGTAAAAACAAAACAGTTCTAAAGAAAATAAGAAAAACAAAGACAATAAATTATCAGTATGAGATTGGTTTGGAATACATAGTTACTGAACAAAAAAATCTCTTTTCTAGAAGGGAAAAAAGAAACTTGAGATAATCCAATAATTCAACAAGATACGTTACTGCTAGATTGCTCCACCTTGTTCTGTTTATCATCTGCTTTTGGATATCGAGAATGCTCTTTGTGATCACCTTCTTTAATAAAGACTCCTAATCAAAAAAAAACAAACATAAGAATCTTGTTGCCACAAAACTAGAAGGTCATTTAAGAGCAAGGTAAAAATAACAAGAACCATGAACAGATACAGCAGAGGAAATTTAGAAAAAGAAAATTAGTGTTAAAGTCTGTCTAACATACATATATATGTATAAACACAATTATAAGCTTCCCATTTAGGGAAAGGACAGCTCTTCAAGCATGAAATAGTAGGAGCTCCATGGCATAAGGCTTGAACCTCACAATCCTTATTCTTTAAATAATTAAAAAAATTAAATATCAAAAAATATCACTATGTAGCACATACATATACAACAAAATGCACTGATGATATACATGAACATATAGGCATGTGTGTGTGCACTAGTGTATGTTTTCCACTCTAACCATAATATGTTGCCAAAGAATGTTTTGTTTACTAGTAGTTCTAATCTTAACAAATATTAGGAGAAGTTCAGAAGAAACCACATTCTGGGAGCAGCTTAAAACCTTCTCATCTTAGGGAAGAAAAAGAAAGAATTCCTTGTAATGCCGCATGCCTAGAATAACCATAATTGGACACACCTTGCATTGTATAAGCAAAATTCAAATTGAAAGAAACATGTTACATCTAGTCAGCACTTGTCCCAGGCAAATAGACAGAAGAAAATTTATGTTTTTGCCATCTAATTCCAAGCTAAAGACCAGAATTCACAGATTTGATGCATCCTAATAATGTATAACAAAATTTTCAGCTAATTTAACAGAAATGAAGTATTGTAAAATAGAAAATAGAGAGAATTACAAACTTCCATATTAAACAGAAGCAGGGAGTCACCTGATCCATTCCACATCTCATGTTCAGCTTTCTCATCCGTGCCTTCTAAAGGGGGGATGTGTGATAAGATACGATATATCTTGTGAATAGGGAGCTCTACACTGCAACACACCAGCAAGACTTCAGTGTTTTTGTGTTTTTTTTTTTGTTTTTCTTTTAATATAGGCTAGGTTCACTAGAATAAAATTCTAAAACGACACACGTCTACATAAAAAAGCAAAATTGAAAATTTCTAATGTATTTAAAAGCCAAACAGAGAACAATGCCAGTCATCAAACCACCTAACACTTCAATTGCACATGCAACACGTTCAAGCAACCATGTGACTATGTGAAGCAGGCTTCACTACAAATACCATTCATGTGAAATCAAGCAGTGAGTAACCACTCATTTAATTTATTTCACATCCAAATCTTATCACAAAGAAGAGGAGAGCAAAGATTAGAGAAAAGGTTAATCTACACAGAAAGGGCTGTTTATAAAAGTAACACTAACCTTGTTCTTGAATGACTTTTGTTGTTGCCGTCTACACTCACAATTTTATTGTCTATAGAGGAGGGAAATTGTAGACCAGATTACAAAATAACAAAACTATGAGTACAAAATGTAACAAAAGAATAACTAAGAAAACAAAAGGTTGATGCCTAAATTTGAAAATTACTAACACAATTAACAAATATGCAGAAAAGTACCAGAAATGTCTTTCGCCCCCAGTGTTCGAGCCAACTTTTCTATAGTGATGTAAGTAAAATAACTGTACCAAGAAGGAATTATAGTATCCATCAACAAAATTTCATTTGGAAACTTATATACTTATAGGTACGATATTCCCCAAAAATTTATCCCAGACAATAATTAAATCAATGAAAGACAATAAAATTTATGCAAAAATGATAAGCTTGTAACATGAGACAGAATTTTCAGAATTCAAAGTTTCAAAACTGGGCTTCAAAATATAACTAATCCAAAAATGGAAGCAAGTATCTGAGGCTGAGTTGCTTGGACATTGCATTTTACTTTGTGTTTACCTATGAAGCACGGATACTTCTAAAAGGGAGGCTTATCCATATTGGATACCAACACTCCTTAGATACTCGCAGATACGTATCCGATACTTAATAAAAGTATTGGATACTTCTTAATTTAATTTTTATTAATTTTGAAATATCGGATACTTAATTTTGAAGTATCAATTACATCTTTTACAAAATTAGAATAACATTTCTTGCATAACATTATAATATAATTGAGAGGATAAATGCAAGAATATTTTTCCAATACTTAGCTTAGTTCTTTAATAAAAAGAACATGGTGAGCTAAAGTAATAGAATTTGTCAAATTGGTGTATCCTTATTGTATCATGCTTGTCTCCTATAGCTACATAGAACATAATGATTAACAAAAGAATATAACAATAGTAAAATTAATACCATCAATAAAATAAACAAGTAAACTTGCATACGACATTTTTTACTAGTGCAAAATGGAAAAACAGGGACAAATTGTGGATTGGTCTATTATTGTAATATAAACATACTAGACTTGATATTAAAATGAAACATTTACAAGACCAATTGAAAATTAAAAAAGTAAATTAGCTATTGGCTTAAATTAATACTTAATTCTTAAAGATTAATAGTTAACATTACGAAATTATAGTATAATTTCTCAACATTCTTCTGCTTATGTGTTACTCACTAGTAATAAAAAAAATTTAATATTTTTTTTACAAACGTATCCTAGCCATACCCATATCTTATTTTTTTAGGTTTTGTCGTATCACCGTATATGTATTTCATATTGATATCCGTACTTCCTAAGTGTTTACCATATGTAATTGAGAAAACGACAATACCACATGCACCGCCTTGTGCACAACTTGGTGAATGTGTGGACAACATTCACACGTCGCGCAAAAAGTTATCCAAAAAATTTGTGTGGGTAGTTTTTCTATTCAGAAAAAGATTAGAGATTGTTCCTGGATAACATGTCATGTATTGGTACTTGGATACATGGAGCATGCTCCATGATTTTGTACTTCTAAGGTTCAATCATCCCTTGATAATAATAATAATAACAAAATTTATGTTACAAAAAAGTATATACAAATAAATGTATATACACCGCATGCATTTCAACTGACTGTGATAAAAATCTAAGCCATCAAATATACACAGCATGAATTGATATTGTGTTACCGATAGCCCTAAAATAACTAGTGTTGGTTCATAAATATGCAACCATGTAAAAATTATGAATCCCCCGAGAAGGAGAAAGAGAAGAGAGCAACAAGTGAAGATAATGGTGTACACATACATACCGGATGTCAATGTAGTTGAAGTACTTTGACACAAGTAAATCTAAGAAAATTTCAATTCCCACAGTTGAATGAAGCTGCAAATGGAAGCAAAACGAGAAATGGAATTAGGGGTATGTGACAACAATAATAACAACAACAACGGAAAGTAGCAAAGTTAGAGTCATACAATTATTACTTGAGAAAAATGAAGCAACAAACTTACAATGCTGTAAATAAACCTGTGGTATATAGAGGAGTGAAACCTTCCCCCATTTCCAACACAAGTTCCTAATAAAATTATATTCCAAAAAAAAAAATGATAAATTAAATTGACGGTGCCTAGAGAAGAAGATGGAAATGAATGAATGAATGTTACCCTGAGAGCTTCTTTGGATTGGGGAGATACGGCAATATCGATGAGGGAATTGACAAAATCATCGAACTTGGATCGGAGCCAAGTGCGGTAGATGAATTCGGGATCTTGGGGGTCGCCTTGGGGGTGGGAAGGAAGGTCGGGGAGGATAGGAGTGAAGAAAGACTGAACGGAGAGAAGAGCTTCGAGGGCGTAGTACGGCGGAGAGGTACCGGAGCAGACGAAGCTCATGAGGAGAGGTAGGTTGTTGATGTGAGCCCTGGAAGACAGAAGCTGGTGGCCTAGGGTTTTCAGCTCTGAAATACTGTATTTCTCTCTCTTGTTCTTCTTCTTCTTCTTCTTCTTCTTCTTCTTTGATAGAATGGAAGCCATTGTTGGGGTTTGCGAGATGCTCTAATCTACTCTACTCTACTCTACACTACTCTTGTTGGAAATCTGAACGAACAAACAGAGAGAGACAGAGAATAACGAAGAAGATCAGATACTTCCTTCCTTCCTTCTACATACAAAAACATTCACACAGAAAGTTGGAAAAACCATGCCTCCCTCCCTCCCTCCCTCCCTCCCTCCGCGGCGCTCGAGTCGAGTTCTGTGATCAAACGTGATTTTGGGCTCTGTTTGGCACACAGGCTCTTGTTATCTTGTCCTGAGTTAAGACTTTTCTTGCACCAACTCGGATTACCCTACCCATGCCCAGATTAGTGGAGACGAGACGAGGGACTTGTTTGGTAGGGTTTATTTTTAATTTATTTTAATTTTTAGTTTAATTTAAGTTTTTTTGATATGTTCGATTCAGTTTAACAATACAATTTATAATTTTTTGTAAGTCAAAAATCAACTTATTCTTTGAGTGGGGGAGGAGAAGCTTGATTTATAAGTCAAAAATCAGCTTATGTTTACAACTATAAATTATAAGCTGTTAAACTATAAAGTATAATCACTTTCCTACAGCTCTACCAAACGGCTCACGTTTGTTTGGTCATGTAAGTGCAGGGAACTCATCAACGGGTAAACCAAGAATCAAGATGGGCTTAGCCTCCAGGCCCGGCTCGCTCTAAATTTCAAGGCTCACTCCCGTCTCAGATCTAGGGTCATGAGCTTAGACCAGCTAATGAGATAGGATTGGAACGGTCCATCTTAAATTTTAAATTCCAGCTCTACTCACGGCTTCCAATCATGTGCCCAATTAGATTTGGGCCCAAATGGGCTTGTCTTGGCCCTAGTTTAGCGTTTTTATTAAATTCAACATTTATTAGTGTTCTATTCACTTATTTTTATCGATAATATTACATGCACTAATTAATATAAACACTGGTGTACTAACTAGTGTTATGTCATTTTTACTGATCGCACGTATTATATAAATTGTAAATACTCAAAACCTCTAAAAATATATTACATCATCTTTATAGTTTTATTAAATTCAATATATGCACACATTTAATATAAGTTTTACTAAAAATACATATGCACACAAAAAGTTGAGAGACAGAAATGAAGAATAACCCCATAAATCAATAAAATCCAACAAGAATAAAAAAGATAGTATGAGAGGAAACAAATGATTTTGATTTGGAAAAAAACATGGGACATTTTGAGATTCCGCACGAGCCAAATAATTTCCCCCAATCACAAGTAAGTAATGATTGGGTCTGGAGGTTTACTCCCTCCCAAGTCTCAAGTTCGAATCCCATAGCTAGCAAATGCATACTTTGCGCCCACAGACTATAAGGCATAAGCCCTGTTTCAGAAAGCCGTGTTTCAGAAAGTTTGTTTGGCCTGTAGGAATTTTGAGATTCCGCATGAGCCAAATAATTTCCCCCAATCACAAGTAGGTAATGATTGGGTCTAGAGGTTTACTCCCTCCCAAGTCTCAAGTTCAAATCCCATAGCTAGCAAATGCATACTTTGTGCCCACAGACTATAAGGCATAAGCCCTGTTTCAGAAAGCCGTGTTTCAGAAAGCTTGTTTGGCCTGTAGGAATTTAATCTAGTACGCATAAGATGGCTTAGAATACCTTACATAACAAAAAAAAATATATAATTAAAATAATTTCTCCCAAACTTGTGATTCCCCCAAACATAGCATTGTCATAGGGTTAGGAGGATGTTACCAATCCAACTTTGCGCTAAAAATTGTAATAGCTACTACTAGCATCTCATCATATCATATCATATCATATATATATATATATATATATTAGTATAAGTGATGTTTTTGCCTTATTTAGGTGACAAATTCTAAAGGCTTAGGGTGTGTTTGGTTTGTGTTTTGAGATAAAAAAAATTAGGGGGTGAGTTAAAAAAAAAAATTAGCAAACATTGATTTATGAGCCTCTTCCAAAATTCTTCTTTTCAGCTCGGCATCATTAGGAACACAAAGTCTCCCTTGGAATTTCAAGACTTGTTCTTCAATTATAAATCCCGATCTGGGCTTAGTTTCAAACTTATCACACATTTTCTTTAGAAATTATCATCTCTCTATTTCTGTTTAATCTCTTCAATGATCGCTGGTTGTGTGAACATTGCGGCTAAAACACTGTCTTGCCCATGACACACAACTTCTATTTCAAGTCTGTTTAGATCTTGTAGAATTTCCTTTTAGTCAGTCAGCAAACATGCTAAGGTTCCTACATTCCTTCTGCGAGAGATTTTTTTGCGAATGTAGTAGGTGTCGTCACAAACAAAAAATTTAAAAAAATAAAAAACCAATATTGTTTTGATTTAACATTTATTTTTTCACCCATTTTTTCATCTTCCTATCTCTCTGTCTCTTTCTTTCTCTCTCTCTCTCTCTCTCTCTCTCGCTAATCTATCTTCTCTTTCTCTTTCTCTTTTTCACTTATCACTTTTTGCCTATCTGTCTGTCTTTCTCTCACACTCTCTCTCTATCTTTCCCCCCGACTATGTTCGCGTTGCTCACTCTCTCCCTTCCCTCTTCTTGATTTACCGATCTCCCTCTCAATTTATCAATCTATTTTTTCTCTATCTCGCTCTTTCTCATCTCTTTTCTCTTTCAATCGCTCATCTTTCATTTCTCTTAATCACTCATCTATTCTCCTAGCCTACTGTTGTCAAAAAAGAGAAAAGTCAAAAAATAAAATGGGCCACTCTCTCTCTCTCTCTATCTCTCTCTCTCTTTCTCTCTGTGTATGTCTCTCGTTTATTTCTCTTCTATATCTTTCACTCATTGCTCTTCTCTCTGGCTCTCTCATATCTCTTCGCTCTCTTTCTCTCTTGCTCATTTCTCTTCTCTCTTTCTCTCTCTCTCTTTGTCTATCTCTCACTCATCTCTTGTTTCTCTTTTTTTTTCTCTCTCTATCTATCTCTATTTATCATCATCTCTCTTCTCTCTCAATCACACTCATCTTTTTCTCTTAGCCCATTGTTGTTGAAAGAGAAAAAAGTCAAAAAATGGAATGGGTCTCTCTCTGTCTCTCTTTCTCTGTGTGTCTCTCACTCATCTCTCTTCTCTATCTCTCTCTCTTGCTCGTATCTCTTCTTTCTCTTTCTATATATCTATATATATATATATATATCTTGTTCATCTCTTTTTCACTCTTTTTCTCACTCTCTTTGTCTATCTTTTGCTAATCATCTATTGTTTCTTTATATTTTTCTGTTTCTCTCTCTCTCTAGCTCTCATTCCGCAACAAAATGGACACGGAGGTTTTTAGCAAAAAAATGAGTTTTTTTGCAATGACAACCTCCTCCCGTCACAAATAAAGGTTTTTGGCGATGACAATCCACCATCGCAAATAAAAAAATTAGTTAAACAATGTCGTTTTATTGTTTAAATTGGCATTTGTGACGGTGAAGCTTGAAGTCGAAAAACAAAAAAACAAAATCTGAGCGCTACTTTTTTTTTTTTCCCCTCCGTGCTCGTTTTTCCCCCCCTTCAACCAAAAATCCCAAATTTTTGAACCAAAAACCCTATAAAAAATCCCCATCTCTTCTCTCTCTCTCTTGATTGACTGTGAGCAGCGGCGAACGGCGGCGAGCATCGAATTGACGGCATGCATCGAATTGACGGCGTCAAGCGATGGCATCGAGCAGTGTGAGATGGCATCGAGCAGCGTGTGACGGCGGCAAGCGAGCGATGACGGTGCGGCATGTCTCTCTTCAATTCTCTCAGTCAGTCTCAATCTCTGAACTAGGTTAGCTATTCTTTTTCTTCGTCTTCACGTCTCTACTCTACCGGGTTAACCGAAATTTTTGTAAATTCATTGAAAATTATGTCATATGGATTTGAGAGATTGTCATGAGAGGAGGGAGGGAGCATATATAATTTTCTTTAACTTGACTATCACAAGAGATCTTAGATTTGAAATTAGCATATTGAGATTTAATGGAATGATAGTGGAAGAAGAAGAAGAAGACTCCATGGATGTAACATTTCTTCAATTTCCTACCTGATTATAATATTTATTGTGTAATGAAGCAAAGAGATTGCTTCCTTTGTGCTTTAGTGCTGGCGTCTGTTTGCTTTCATTTATACTTTTTTTTAGTTTTTACATGGCGAAAAAATTGTATGTGATCTAACTCGAGTATTCTATTTGTAATTTTTTCTTGCCAACAAGTCTATAAAACTTGGTAAACATATTTCTTTTTTGATTAAACTCAATAAACAGATTTTGATGTGATACTGGGACCACAATGCAATGAATGTGGTGCAAACAATTCTATGATTTTAGGGCAATAACGGAGAAGTGGAACAAAAACTAAAAGTGTGTCTGGATATTAGATTTGTAGAGGAATTTATTGAAGAAAAAATTAAAAAGAAAGGGAATTTTTTTTAACTTTTGCAGGGTTATTTATTTATTTATTTTCCATTTCTTCCATAAATTTCTGATCCAAACACACAGGGGCTTAAGATTGAGAATGATTTGGGAAGGAAAGCTCTACTAGTTGTTGCATTACTTATTTCAAACGACAATTACCCATAAACTTGGACAATCATGGTTCTAAACTTCATGTACCAACCATATTCTGTACATTAATTCAAATGAATTTTAATGTCATTGATCAATTTAGTTAGTGTGGGAATTTTCCTATTAATCTTTGCGAGCCTTTGTCTGCTTTCACAGAATATGGGCTGCACACACTGATAAACTTGGCAATCTTCTGTTTTAGTATCGTGATAAATTGTGAAACAACATTGGGCTAAGTGAGCACTTTTATCTTGTAATGAAACAATTACATATTTGAGGAATGAAACTCCATTACTATAGATACTACAAGGAATTTGAAACAAGTTTCCCTTCAACATAAGATGTGCATACTTCAGCCAATGTCATTATTTATAGCTTATTCCCTCCACCCCTAGGCACGAGAGACTTGTGGGAGAATACGGGACTCGAATCGGATTCCCGGTTTGGGAGTTAGAGGTAGATTTCGATCTACGTAAACTAGTTCCTGAAGAAACTTAGAATTCGAGGTGTTAACGGCCCAAAATCACCAAATGGTGTCGGATTAGCATGAAACTTGGCACACACGACTTCCTAAGCATGAGAGGCTTGCAGGAGAAGACGAGACTCGAATCGGGTTCCCGGTTTGGGAGTTAGAGCAGGATTTCGGTCTAGGCAAACTAGTTCCCTAAGAAACTTAGAATTCGAGGTGTTGATGCCCCAAAATCACCAAACGACGTCGAATTAGCACGAAAACTGGCATATACAACCGCCTAGGCACGAGAAACTTATGGGAGAAGACGGGACACGAATCGGGTTCCCGGTTTGGGAGTTAGAGCCGGATTTTGGTCTAAGCAAACTAGTTCTTTAAGAAACTTAGAATTTGAGGTGTTGACTTCCCAAAATCACCAAACGGCGTTGGATCAGCACGAAACTTGGCACATACAACCGCATAGGCACGAGAGACTTGTGGGAGAAGACAGGACTCGAATCGGGTTCCTAGTTTGGGAGTTATAGCTGAATTTCGGTTTAGGCAAACTAGTTGCTTAAGAAACTTATAATTCGATGTGTTAACACCCCAAAATCACCAAACAGTGTCAGATTAGCACGAAACTTGGCACACATGACTGCCTTGGCACGAGAGACTTGTGAAAGAATATGAGACTCGAATCGGGTTTCTAGTTTGGGAGTTAGAGCCAGATTTTGCTTTGGGCAAAATTATTTACTTAGTTATCTTTGTAATTGTATAGTAGTTAAATTTTTATTTTTATTTTTGTAATTAACATATTAACACATAATTATATTGTCATTAATTATTTTTGCTTTTTGTTTTCAGATATTTCCCGAGTAGGATTTTGCTTCTTGTGGAATGCATGTCTGTGAAAAATGTGACTAACTTTTGTTTTTGTTACCCACGGAGAATGATGAGGAAAACTTTTGTTTTTGGTTTATATTATTTTGAATTGTGAACAACATTATATATTTAAACATTAAATGTATTGTGCAACATTATGTAGTGGCTAATTTTGTTGATGTCTAGTTATAAATGCAAGAATATTCCTATTATGGAGAAAGTGTTATTTCTATACAGGAATTTTTATATTATTATGCAATTATTGGTTTCGTTTTCATTTTTTTTCATTTAATATAGGTAATTTGAATATTTTTAATAATTTTATTGTAGTTTTTTTTTTTTGGGGCTGCGACGACACCACAATGTCTCAAAAAACATTAGAGTTAAAATGTATTTTTTTTGGCGACATAGGCAATGCCATCGCAAAAGAATTTTAGTGACAGAGGTCATGCCGTTGCAAAAATAAAATAAAATATCACAACAACATTTTTTTGCCCTTTCAAATAATTTTTTTTGTGACGGTATAACATTGCCGTTGCAAAAGGTCTCAATTTTTACATATTATAGGCGATAGTAAAACGCTATCGCAAAATCCAACATTTACCGTCGCAAAAAATAGACGATGGCATCATGCTGTCGCTAAAACGTTTTAGCAACACCCTCTGTTGTGACCCCCACTTTGCTGTCACTAAAAGTCATCTGCCGTCGCTAAAAGTTTTTTGAGATGGCATTAGAAGTTTTAGCGAAGGTTAACTTACTTTGAGGTTTCATTGGAAACATGCCTGATCAACATGGCTTTTGGTGGAAATCTCTGAGAGTTTTGGGACAAGTAGTTATCCCCGTAGACTTGGCTCGATTAATTGAACACAGTTTTGTTTGATTGAACACAATTTTGTTTTAAGGGTAAAAAAGAAAAAAACAATTAAACACAATTTTGTTTAATTAAAGGGTGATTCTACTTACACCATTACTTGATCTCTTTACATGCTTCATATGAGTTTTTTTTTTTTCCTTTAATTTTATCCATGTGAGAAATTACCTTCAAAGACAAAACACTAAAATTAAATATATTTTGTTATCTCCTTACACCCCTTGGTCTTTAATCCCCACTCCTCATTTTCCTTTCTTAATTTTTTTTTTCTCTTACATATCTCTTTTCGAAAAGTAAGAATCATAGTATTTTGATCATTAAAGAAAGCAATAGATGAAGAAACGGTGGTGAAGAACCACCAAAGAATTGAAATGTTGAGTTTTTTAATTTTATTTATTTGATAGGTTTTTGTTTTGTTTTTCTGGACTGGTGTTTGACTTTCGTTCAGTGTTTCGAAATCGAACAAATAAAATAGTCTGACATTACATTGCCGAACAAAAAATATAAATCTGGTAACCAATTACCGAATAAAATATAGATTTCCAGCAACCCCAAACCAAATGTTTTTAATTTGTTTGGTTTCTCATTATCATGTATTTTCAGTTTTTTTTTTGCCTGGAAGGATTATACTTATACTCATTGCAACAACACAAGTACTGCAATATTAGTGGACTCTAATCATGAATTCATTACAGACAAAGTTTGTTAAGTTTTTTTTTTTTTATGAATATGATTTTTTCTTATTTTTAATTTGTATTGAGTTTTATTAATAATTTGACGTATAAATGCATTTATTATCTTTAGGTTTTTCCTAGTTGTGAAGCATTAATTAAATGGGCTTTTGACATTGGGATGCAGATTGAATTTGTCATTGTTATAAAGATATCAAATGTGGAAGGCAATGGCAGAAAACCAAGAGTTATACTTGCTTGTAAAAGAAGTAGTTACTATAGAGACAACATGAAGATCAAAGGAGAACGATTAAGGCTGTTAGGTTCTAAAAAGTGTGGATGTCTATTTCTATTAAGGGGGTAAAAATTACCTACAAATTACCAAGACGAATTGTGATAACATGTTTGATTGATGGATCCAAATAATGACAGATTTTATGGGTACTTTATGGATATTCGTACACTTGATGTTTTTATGAATAATTTTATGGATACTATTTATGTATAATTTTATGTATGCGTGTTTGATTTATAAATTTTTTATGGATCTTTCAAGGAAAAAGTAAATCTTTCAATGTACAGTGATAAGGGCCTAAACAACTCTATTGTAGTTTGGTAACACGACACTAGAGTAATCTCATTTGTATAACAATGTATCATTGAACATGCACTTCACAAGTGGTCAAAATTAATTTATTGTTATCATCTAATTAGACGGCAACATAATGTTGGGAAAAAAAATATTGTCCGATAATATGGCACGGGAGTAATTCAAATTAATTAGCGTTATATTACCAAATAGGCTCACCACAAATTAAAAAATTATTGTTTAGAAGAAAGTGTCTCTGTAAATGTATAGTAATAAAATCCTAGAGAGATCTATTTTTTCTGGTAACATAACATCGGAAAATGTAAATTGTTTACCATCGTGTTACCAAAATTAGTGGTGTAAAGAGATAAAATAGTTAATTTAGGGTTAGTTTTGATAATATATTGGGGGTGTAATGAGAATTATAGGCTGTGTTTGGTATAGCTTTGGAAATGTAATTCTACCATTTAGTTTGAGTACGGCGTTTGTTTATAGTTTCAAAACACATTTCCACACCCGCGTTTGAAAATGCGTGTACCCGGACGTCCCCCGGACTTCTCCCAAGACGTTCGGCTGGTTGACCGGAACAGTATTCTTGAATTTTATTTTATGTTGTTTTGCACTTGTTATTTTTATATGTTAAATAAAAAAAATATTTTTTAACGTTTTTTTTAAATTTTTTTATGAGTTTTGAATAAATTTTTGGGTTGTGCGTTTGGTTATGAATTATAAGTTTTTGTACAAAGATTATATCACATCACTCAATTCAAAAACTTTTTTCAAAATTTTTTTCAAAACTCTTTTCAAAATTCATCCACCAAACAAATTTTTTACACTCAAATCATAATTTCAAAACACACAAACTAAAAATACAACTCATTCTCAAATTATATTTACAAAACTTTATCAAATATAATAATATTTTTTATAATAATGTAATGAGATGAAAGTTGTAAAGAAGTCAAATAGCCATATAAGTAGAATCACGGGAGCTTCTATTTACACACACCCATTCCCCTCTTTATACATCTTTTTCAATAAATAATTGGTTCGGAAGTAGATTTCCGAAAATAAGCAATTGGTTCGGAAGTAGGTTTTCGAAAATAAACAATTGGTTCGGAAGTAGACTTCCGAATTTTTATTATTTTTTCGACAATCAACTTCCGAATGGGTTTATTTGATGTCTATAATAGTAATTTCACCTGAAAAAAAAATTATAATAAAAATAATTTTTATGAAGTGTGTGCAAAGAGGGAAAGGTGAATGTGTAAATAGAAGCTCCCGTAGAATCACCCTCCATTAAATACTGTATTCCATCAATGCCCTTAAACCCAAACAAGACAAATAATGAAACACAGGGGCAAAACACTGTTCATCCATGTCCAAAATTATCAATCAATGTTTATTTCTCTCCATGAGTGCATGCAAGGGTTTACAGAGGTTTTGAAGAAGAAGAAGAAGAAGAGATAATGGAGGAAGCATCAGAGCATAACAAAAAGCAGAGCGTGCCTGTGCTCCCATGGATGAGAAGTCCTATTGATGTTAGTCTCTTCGATGAATGCCCTCTTAATCTCCTACCTTTTCTTGATCCCAGGTACTCTTTCTCTGTGTGTGTATATAGTAGTGTGTTTGTGTATGATTATTATGTATGTATTTTGTTGTTTATCTTTCATAATTCTCAACATAAATTGATTAAATTTGTGAAGAGTTCATCCATTCTAACCGGTTTAGAATGGTTGATTGAGGAATTGATAAATTTGTCTGTTGCTATCACATTTTCTATTCCTCTGACATCTCTCTACATATCCATCTCTGTTGCTTTTGCTTAGGGTTTTTCTTCCATTTGTTCTTCTCAGGAAATTTACCTTATCCATATATACTAAATATTATAAAGAAAGAATGAACATCAATATCTACCCGTATAAAAGTGAAAACAACATCGAAACATGTATGTAGGAAGCAATTTTTTTCTTCTTAAATTCACATTTGTTTACAAACTAAAACAATTGTTGATCGATTTCGTTGCACTTTTGGACAGACGGGCACAACCAGAAGGAGAACTTCTTTCTCTTTGGTTTGGATTGAACCCGTCCCTGTGACCTATCAAGATAATTACATTTCATTTTCTATACTTGCAATTTTTTCACAACTTCTACATGTATTCACAAATAAGAGATTTTGCAATTCTATTTTTTGAGGCAATAAATAAATAATATTTTTGTAATAAAGCTTATTAAAGCAATAGACAAGATAGGCAGTTAATTCATTTCACAAACTTAGTATAGCAAATGGGTTTTTTAAAAGTCATAGGGGGGCCGATTGCCCCGCTTGCCCTCCTCTGGGTCCATCCCTGTCATTAGGTATGGTTAGTTCCCAGGGTTCTAGCAGTGCATTCTTCACGGATTAGGTTTAAATTCGTCTTTTCTTTCCCCCCACTTTTTTGGAAGAGTCTGTGCAACTAGGATTTATATTTGTTTAGCTATTTACTAGGTTTTGGCTGACTGTGAAAGGTGTAGGCTTAAACTAGTCACAAAGAATTATATGAGTACACTATGTGGACTTAGCCTTGAAAATTTTAAAACTGAAGGATCTTATCGATTAGAATGTGTTGTGGTGTCTCTAATGATAAGTGTATTTTAAGGGACTTTTCCTAGTTCACCCAAAAATTTGTTGTGTTTTAAAAGCTCCATAAAATACTAGTACACATGCATGCCCAAATCCAATTGAATCGAACCTCCACAAAATAACCCCAAACTCAATTCCATTTGAAAAATTGAACCTATTTTGTGTAACTTTTGGTAAGTTGAAAGTTGAGAATTAGAAATCAGAACATAAAAACATTCACCTCTAGTTTTTGATAATCAATTATTTTTCAATTTATTTATTTATTTCTAAAACTATTAAGCAGAAACTACACCAAATATATTGGTATAAAATTTCAAATTAAAAAAAGCCTATAAATAGCCATAATATAATGCACATGGCTATTATTGACTAGATGCGACTGAACAATTGGTTGTTTGTTATGACTTAAATATTTCAACTTTCAACTTTTAGTTTTAATTAAGTTGAGATAACATTTTGATGTAATCTATAGTAAGAATAGTTTAAGCTTATTTGCACTTATTTAAGGCAAAATAGGTTGATTTTAGGTTTTTTACAGTCACACCCTATGAGGTTTATGAATAATACAAATTCTTCCCTCACATCCTAGACATTACACTGACCCTCTTATCAGAATTTGTCTATTAACACCACTAACAGAAAAAAAATAAAATGGCTTTATTACCTTTCTTCCCTTCTCTCTTCCTCTCGTTCAACATGACCCAATTTTACTCTCTCTCTCTCTCTCTCTTGAGGCTCCATCTCAGCCCTAACAATCACCCCCAAAACACCATCGCTATACAAACACCTTGTTGACACATCATATCAATTAAAAATATTTAGAAAGTTGGCTATTTGACACCACGTGGTTGGCTATTTGAATATATCTAGCAACATCAATGTATTGAGTATGCATTTGCTTTGCAAAAAACAACTAAGCAAGTACAGATGTTCTCATGCAAACAAATTGTTATGTTTGTTTCTTGTTGTGCCACCATAGCCACAACCTATAGAATACACCATCTCTTTATTTATTGGCTTTGAGAGTTCAATTCTTCAATTGATTCAACAATTTTACAACAAAAATAAAAAGCATGCAGCAACTAATGGTGCCCAAGAGGTTCCATTGAGTAGTCAATTGGAAAAAATTCTTACCATATACCCACCATCACCTACACCATTACCTAACATCACCATCATGGTATCACCCATTTCGAGTATTATTTGAAACACCTAGTGTCCCCTTACAATTATTCCTTAATCACTCTAAATCCATCCTACCTAGACCCCAATCCACTCTCCATTGGCCACCCACTCCACCAGTAACCCAATCCACACCATCACCAGCCCTATAGCACCATCTCCCTCTTTCGCCACCTACACCACCAACCTGAAAAGAGAGAGAGAGAGAGAGAGAGAGAGAGAGAGAGAGAGGGAGAAAGAGAGAGAGGGGAGGGGGTAAATCACCTATTGTTGTCCGCACTTTGAAATAAGCAAGGTTGTGGTGGAGAACCGACAAGTAGCTTTGATCGGCAAGGCTGGTGTTGGAAAAGAAACACAAGATTAGACCACCAAGGAGGATCGCGGTTGTTGTGATCCTCATTCTCCCACTGAAAATGTCATGGCTGCGTGTGGACATAAGATCCCTCTCCCTTTCGTTCTACTTTCTCGTCGTTCTCCCTCTTTTTCTCCACTTAAATTTTTGGTTAGTGTATATTTAGGGTTATTGGGTATGGGTAGGTAATTCGGGTTGGGTTAGGGTTAGGGGTTAGAGTAAGGTTAAAATTGGTATTTTTATAACTTTTTACGTTGATGTCATTGTCATCCAAAGCTGTTAGTTGACCTAACCCCCATTAACAAAATGGGGCAAAATGTAATGCGATTTCGAACCTCAAGGAGTGCAATGAAATTCAAACGTCGAGGGGGAAATTGTAGTAAAAACAAACCTCAGGGGAGTGTTAATGTAGTTTACCCTTGTTTTTAAAAGGTTGACTAGAGGGGCTCTTTGTCACCTTTTTACTTTAGGGAGACATTATTTTAATCAAAAATTTATTTAAATATAACTCATCTTTCTTAAATATTATCATGCCCATTTTTGAATTTCTAGTCAATAAAAATAAAATAACGTTTGACAATATAAATTCACTTTACTATTTACTTAAATAAACCTCTGTAATTTAAATTTATAACATTTTTAACATCTATATTTTAATATATTAAAAGGAGCACGTAATTTGGTGTTCATGAAGTTTTGTGAACTTTTACATTTTTTAGAGGCAACCTTTGCTTATTATGTTTTAACCATTTAAAGACCCTTGATATATAGGTAAAAATGTACAATGCTTTTCACCCACTTAATAATTCAATCATTGTTGTGACTCTTACGTTGAGGTTTAGGCATCATTTTTCCTTTAGCTTGAAGGAACTTTTTTTCCCCCTGGAGCTTGACATTGAGCTTCAATTTTGATTACCTATTTGATTACTGTAAAATGGCTTTCACTCTGTTACTCCCTTGAATTATATTGCTTATATTTTTGTGGTTATGGTTAGTTGTGAATTGTTCTTATATTAGGTTGGAGGTGGCTTTGGAGAATATGGGTTTTACTTCCCTCTTTCCAGTGCAAGTCGCAGTCTGGCAAGAGACAATTGGACCTGGTTCCTGTGAGCGAGACCTTTGTATAAATTCACCAAATGGAAGTGGGAAGACGCTAGCCTATGCTTTGCCAATAGTGCAAATGCTGTCAACTCGTGCAGTTAGATGTCTTCGTGTTTTAGTGGTGTTACCCACACGTGATTTAGCCGTGCTGGTTATACATTCACCTTTACGTACCGATTTCCCATTTTTGCACATGTCCTGGTGATTCTACTTAAAGGGATATTGCTGCCATCAATCTCTCTCACTCAAACACACACACATTGGGCATGCATGTTTTCTTCATTATGTGTTAATTCTCATCTCATAATCATGGAACTATTAGTGTTTTTTACCCCTAAGCTTGACTTAGATAGATGAACTCGCAATTGTGTTGCAGTACCAAAGTTGATTGAACTATTCATGACCTTAAGAATACGTTTGAGTACTGTTGTATTTGTTTTGTTTTAGTTGTTTGTTAAAATTCATGAGAAAATACATTTATTTTCATTACATTTATAAAGACACATCTGATGTGATTGAGATAGGTGTTTTCTTCATGCAAAATTGTATGTATGTTTGGGGATTGGTGTGCTGATTGTTGTATTAATTTATATGGGCTTCGTTGTGAACTTCTAAAGCTTTGTTCATTGGACGTGGGATATTATTATAAGGTTGATGGCTAGATAGACTGTCAAAGGATCATTTTAATTAAACTGCCTTTACCTAATGGTTGTCTTGGCAATTCAAGGCGCTGGAAGATTAGAATTCTTATACACCTGATCACCACTTTTTATTCGCACAAACTTGGTGAGATTGGTGTTGGATCCTCCTCTATGTGATTTTCAGCTTGAGCTTTTACTATTCACCAAGAAAAAGGGGACCATTTTAACTGACAAAATGAAAGAGGGATGAAAGAATAAATTGGCTATCAAATTTAATTGGTTCTGCCTACAAAATTATATGCAGATGCAAAAGAGGGAACATGTTTGTGAATTGGTATGAGTTTTGCATGTTTTGAAAAAAAAATGTGATGGAATGTACTTTAAGCTATATTTCTAAGAAATGTCTATGAGGTGAGGGTGTTGCAAGGTGGAGTGGGAAAAAAATGACGAAGCTTATTTTAGAAATGACGAATTTAATAATCAAGGAAAGGAGCATTAAGATAAATCTGGAAGCACATAAAAATGTGTTTGAACAGGGGAGGAATACTTAAAACAGTTAAAACATATTCCTAGAAGGTGCCTCATGGCACTGATGAAAAAAAGTAATAATTGGTGGCTTTGGAAAGGGGAGAGGAAGGTATGGAATGTTATTTGAACCTGAGAAATCTCCTAGGTTGAAGATGTTTCTTTGGATCCTTAAATGGGAAAATTGGATTCATGTTGTTGGATACTCCAAAAGAAAGAGGAGCTCATGTTTCCAATGATGGTCCAACTAAATGGTATGTTGATTTGATGTTTAGTCAATGCTACCTTTATGCTTATCATATTTATGATTATTTTTCCATTACGAAGTACAAATATTCTAGACCAACTAGGATTGTAAATAAAATTCAAATAACATTACTTGACCTACTTTATGATCCATGGACTATAACTACTACTACTCATGGTGAACACTTATTGAAATTACCAAACTACCTCCAACTACAAAAACATAATATAACGGTATAAATCTGTTCAGTAGTGTGCTAAATTATAATAAACACAAATAAAGACTTAAAACTTTCTAAATCTTCACTCCATGATGTTCTAATTGTGCTCCATGTGAAATTCCAGATCTATCCTTTTTGTTCTTTCCGTACTTGCCATCACATTGATCCTTTGGAAAACAAGTGGACTAATGTGAATGTTATGAATACTAGAGGGGAACTGTATCAAGGTCTATTTAATGCTCCCTTGAAAGGTATCTATTTCCTTTTTCTTTTTTTTTTTGGGGTTTCAGGTTAAGGAAGTCTTTGCTGCTATTGCACCTGCAGTGAGCTTATCTGTTGGTTTGGCAGTTGGTCAATCTTCAATTGCTGATGAAATTTCTGAACTTAGTAAGAGACCTAAGCTTGAGGCAGGTATCTGTTATGACCCCGAAGATCTTTCGCTGGATTTAGAAAGTTCAGTGGACATTTTGGTGGCTACTCCTGGCAGGCTGATGGATCATATAAATTCTACGAAAGGTTTTACACTTGAGCATGTTTGTTATCTGGTGAGTAGCAGATTGTGTTGATTTCACCTTTCACATATAATTCTGATGTAACTTTTGTTCCCTACAGCATTCCATTTTCTGAAATAATGGTTTCAAATATGTTACGTATTTATATTATGTATTTTTTGTATTTCATCAGATTGGAATATTTTGTTAATGACTTGAGTGTTTAATGGATTGCTATTGATTAGCACTAGTATTGTATGATCTTTCACTGGATTTAGAAAGTTCAGTGGACATTTTGGTGGCTACTCCTGGCAGGCTGATGGATCATATAAATTCTACGAAAGGTTTTACACTTGAGCATCTTTGTTATCTGGTGAGTAGCAGATTGTGTTGATTTCACCTTTCACATATAATTCTGATGTAACTTTTGTTCCCTACAGCATTCCATTTTCTGAAATAATGGTTTCAAATATGTTACGTATTTATATTATGTATTTTTTGTATTTCATCAGATTGGAATATTTTGTTAATGACTTGAGTGTTTAATGGATTGCTATTGATTAGCACTAGTATTATATGGTCTGAGTGTATCTCCACTTATAAAGCGAGTTCATTTCTTACAAGCAAACTTTAGTCAACTTCGATTTACATATTTTTGGAGTTGTGATAAATACTGTAATTAAGTTAATGATCTATTTATGTTTACATATTATGCTGCTGCAGTTGGATTACAATTTTATGATTTTTCATGAGTCCATACTTAAATTCATGATACCACCAAATGCTTCTGTCAACGTGTTTCAAAAATTGCAGTCATCATTGCTTGTCCTTCTGTTGGTATCTTGTTGCTGTGATGGTTTATCAGTGGAAGAATAAAAAATTACAACGAACAAATTGAACTTCAGCAATCAAAACATTGCGTTTAACATCCATAGCTTTTAATTTGAATTTTCTTTAGAAGACTATCTTTTGACGAGGTCAATTTTTCAGGTTGTTGATGAAACAGATCGATTACTCAGGGAGGCATACCAATCCTGGCTGCCTACTGTTCTTCAATTAATCCAATCTAGTGTTGGAAGTCTCTTCCCTCATGCCAACACTTTCTTTCCTTCCCCATTTGGTTACTTGAAAACCAGAAGGAGATCGTGAGTTCTAATTTCTTTTACCTCCTTTCTTGTAGTAATTGGTCAGTGACAGTAGTATTGCGTGGTATGTTGTGCATGCTTTGGATACACCTGCAGATAAAACTGCAGTCAGGTATCCATTATCGTATTATATATAATATAGCTGATAGAATAATATCTTTGGTTTGATTATTCTATTAGCTATTATTTCCTTATTCTATTATTTCCTTATTTGTGCCTTCAAGGCTTCCATTGCAAGTTACTTATTATCAATATAAAAGATTATGGTTGTCTAATCATTCCCTAAGTTCTTCTCTCTCAAACAAACATGGTATCAGAGCCTTAGGGTTACCATCTCATTCTCCACCTTCACCCATCACCACCTAACTGCTGCCCACTGTGTTTTGACCCTCTCTTCTCTGTCCAGGGCCTGCGATAGTCACTGGTGAGCACCCAGGACCAGCCAACAGTCCCTCGTTCTTGTTCGGCTCCAGCCGAAAGCTCCTTGGCCTATTTTGGCTTCAACCGACAGCCACTCTGAGGCTTCTTTGACCACTGCATGTTTTGATTGGTTCATCTCACCACTGTTCCTCAAGTCTAGCAAGGTTTTGCCTTATTTGAGGATAGCTTAGCCTTGTTTTGATTGGAGGTTCCTTTTCCATTTTGTGTATTTATTTATTTTTGGGTCATTACATTTCGCTATTGCCCAGCTTTGACTGATTGGTATGCTCCTATCATGGTTTGTAATTGACATTGCTTGGTCCAGTTGATTTTATTCCCTCTTCCAGTATTTGTGATTAGTGCTGGTTGTTATTCGGTTTGTAGAGTATAAATGGTTGACCTTACTAGTGAATCCACCACTACTTCTCAGACACCTAGAGGGGAGAGTCCCATTTTGACTATTACATCCGAAAACCTAAACCCTAGCCTAAAAATCACCACCTCTTTGTTTAATGGGCAAATTACAAACACCTCCCCTGAGATTTGTTGAAAATACAGATTTCTCCCTGAAGTTTGAGAAATTACATCCCGCCCCCTGAGGTTTATATTTTTATAACAAATTGACCCCTGAGGTTTTTATTTTCATATAGATTCCTCCCTAATTTGACCTAATTTGTTATGAAAATTTGACCCTCAGGGGGTAATTTGTAATTTCTCAAACCTCAGGAGGAAATTTGTATTTTCACCAAACCTCGAGGGGGGTGTTTGTAATTTGCCCTTGTTTAATGGTTAGAACTATCTTGCTTGGTCACAGTGTCTGACACTTTTCTTGAAGAGTAGAGGGAAGATGGGTTATGTTGATGGGAGGATCAAGGCACCAGGAATCACTGATCCTGGTTATAACCAATGGGAGATTACCAATTCTTTAATTATGGGATGGCTCATTCATTCCATGGTAACTGATATAAGGGAAGGCTACTTGTCTATGAAAACTGCCCAGGATATTTGGGATGCTATGGTCACTACCTATTCCCGAAAGAGGAATTTCTCATAGATTTTTGAGTTGCGTCGTTCTATTGAACGCTCAGTACAGGGGGATGTGACTGTCCTTTAATACTTCACTTTTCTTAACAATGGCTAGAAACGTCTTGATAATCTACAGGATTATAAGCCTGCTTGCACAATTGATTTAGTAGGTTACCAGAAGTTTATTGAAAATGAACGGGTCATCAAATTTCTGGAAGGTCTCAACTTAGAGTTTGATCCTGTTCGAAGTCTTGTCCTTGGTATGAATGTTCTTCCCTCCCTTCAGGAGGCCTTTTCCTATGCACAGAACGAAGAGAGTCGTTGTTCTGCTATGTTGCCACCTACCTCTACAGAGCGCTAAGTCTTACTTTCTGCTCCTCCTAGGGAAGGTACTAGTCTGCCTTGTACTTCCTGTAGTCCTTCAGAGATGGATACACTATTCTGTGATTATTGTCGCTGGCCGATACATACCGGTGAGACTTGTTAGAAGATTCATGGGGTTCCTTCTGGTGGTCGCGGTGACCGTTCTGGTAGTCATAGGGGTCGCTCTGGACGGTCTTGAGGATGCGGGTGTAATCCACGTGCACATCATACTAGTGCAGTGGATACTCCCGATGCCTCTTCAGTTGCTCCTCCTAGTGGTGATATATCTGGATTGTCTTCTTCTGAGTTAGAGGATGCTTTGCGCCACCTATTGGATCGTTGCTCTTCTACTACTCCATTGTACATCCTCCTTGTCTTTTTCTCACTCAGGTAACTTAGCTGCTTCTCCAAGTGCTTTTCTATCTCATAAGTCTTTACCTTGGATTATTGATTCTGGTGCCTCAAATCATATATTTGGGTCTTCTGATCTGTTCTTGGAATATAAGCCTTCTTCAAGTTAGAACAAAGTTAGGATCACTGATGGTACTGTTTTTTCTGTTTCTGGGAAAGGTTTAATTCATGCCACTCCTTTTCTACCATTATCTTCTGTTTTGCATGTTCCCATTTCTTTGTCAATCTTTTATCATTGAGTTGTCTTACTTATGACTTGAATTGTAGTGTGGCTTTCTTTCCTGATCATTGTCTGTTTCAGGACCTTATCACGAGGAAGACGATTGGCAATGGTAGAGTAGAATGTGGTCTCTATATCCCGAATCAGGCGGACAAGTTGCACTTCATTCTATCAAGTTTCCTGCCACCAAGGAATACCTGTGGCTGTGCATCAATGTCTTGGGCACCCATCATTTCTATTGATTAAGCATTTATTTCCTTATGTTTTTACAAACAATAATGTCTTAGAGTTTCATTATGAGTCTTGTCAACTTGGAAAAGAACATAGAGCTTCTTTTGCTCCAAGCTTTAATAAAAGTTTAGTACCTTTTTCCTTAATTCACTCTGATGTTTGGGGTCCATCTCGTGTTGTGTCTTTAAAAGGTCATAGATGGTTTGTTACTTTTATCGATGATTTTTTTCGTACTACTTGGGTATATCTTATGAAAGACAAAAGTGAGGTATTTTGTGTGTTTCGTAATTTCCATAAAATGATATGTACTCAATTTGGGGCGATTGTCAAAATATTGCGTTCTGATAATGGGGGTGAGTATATTGATTCTGGTTTAGCAAGCTATTTTTCCACCCATGGCATTATTCATCAGACTTCTTGCACAACATTGCTCAACAAAATGAGGTTGCAGAATGCAAGAGTCATCATCTTCTTGATATAGCTCGTTGCCTGTTTTTTTCTATGCATGTGCCTTGGTCTTATTGGGGGGACGTAGTTCTCACTGCTGCCTACCTCATCAACCGTCTCCCAACCCAAGTGTTGCACAAAAAATCTCCTCTCCAAGTTTTCTCAAGTTCTGAGTTTGTGTTCTCTATTCCCCCTAAAGTCTTTGGGTGTATCTGTTTTGTCCATAATCATGCTTCTTCTCGTGGTAAATTTGATCCTAACTTTATGAAGTGTGTCTTTTTGGGTTACTCTCTTACTCAAAAGGCTTATAAGTGTTATCATCTTCCATCTCGTAAGTGGTTTGTCTCCATGGATGTAACATTCTTTGAGTCACAGTCTTATTTCTTGTCCCAGTCCTCTTTTCAGGGGGAACCTTGGTGTGAAGGGATTCTTGAGTCTGAATCAGTTCCTGGCTCATCACCAGTGGTGGAGAACACAGAAGGTAAACTAACTACTTGTGGTGAAAATACTGAATGTCTATGTCAAGGACAAAGACAGATAGAAAGTTATTTGTATACAAGAGACCACTTCTGATCATCCACTGCTATCTTTTTCTTCTGATGAGATTCCATGTAACTTTGAAACCCTTATTCCTCCTGAGTATACTGATCTTGATATTCCTATTGCCCAACGAAAGGATGTGAGGTCTTGTACTAAGCATCCCATTTCTAATTTTGTGTCCTACTCTAATTTGTCTCCTTCTCATAGAGCTTTTGTGTCCAAAGTTTCTTCTCTTAGTATACCTAATCATTTTTGCTACCCTTGAGTGGAAACATGCCATGATAGAAAAAATGAAAACACTTCGTAAGAATGGCACTTAGGAATTAACTGAGTTATCTAAGGACAAAAGACCTGTGGGATGCAAATGGGTGTATTCTGTGAAACATAAAGCAGTTGGTTCAATTGAGTGTTACAAGGCTAGACTGGTGGCAAAGGGCTTTATTCAGACTTATGGAGTAGACTATCAAGAGATCTTTGCACTAGTGGCTAAGATGAATTTAGTCATAGTACTTCTTTCTCTTGCAGCTAATTTGGATTGGCCACTTTATCAGTTTGATGTAAAAAATGATTTCTTACATGGTGATCTAGAAGAAGAGGTGTATATGGACATCTCTCTTGGCTTTGAGGACCATCAAACAAGGTTAAAGTATGCAGGCTTCTGAAGTCATTATATGGTGTCAAATAGTTTCCAAGGGTTTGGTTTGAGATATTCACTCAGGTTATGCTCCGATATGGCTTCAAACAGAGTCAGATTGATCACACTTTGTTTGTGAAGTATTCCTTACATGGTAAGACTACAGAGCTCATTGTTTATGAGGATAACATGGTGCTTACTGGAGATGATAGTGAGGAAATACCCCGGTTGAAGAAATATTTAACAAGCGAGTTTGAAATCAGTGTTATTAAAGATGTGCCTAGGCCTAAGTCCCATCTAGGCCTAAGGTTTGCGCCTTGTAGTGTTCCAAGCTAGGCGACTTCGATAAGGCACGTCTAGGCGTGCGTCTAGGTCCAAGTCCCATCCAGGCCCAAGGTTTGCGCCTTGTAGTGTTTCAAGCCAGGCGACTTCAATAGTACCTAACTGGCCCAAGGCTTGCGTGTTGAGGGCTTTTTTTATATTTTTTTTATTGTTGCTTTTATTGGTTTTGTTTAAAATCTGACCATTGATTTAATATGGTGTAGCTACAGAAGATCCTCACACTTATTACAGATGCCAATACATTGGGCATTCAACCGCAAATCAATGACAGAAGAAAAATTAGTCCTAATTTCTAATCTCCAAAAACACTAAATGTTTAACATTTCATTTTGTTTATGCTAAACCCTAAATTATTTACTTGTATTAAATTATATATTTTTTTCTGTACAAGGTGCGCCTCAATTCGGTGAAGCATGCGCCTCGCCTTGCGCCTTGAGCCTAGGCCCCAGGAGACGTTGGCGCCTTGGTGCGCCTATCGCCTTTAATAACACTATTTGAAATAAAAGACTTGGGAAATCTGAAATATTTCCTAGGTATTGAGGTTGTCCGGTTCCAGGATGGAATTTTCATCTGTCAGAGAAAATATGTTCTTGGCCTATTAAAAGAAACTGGGATGCTTGGGAGTAAAGCTTGTGATACACCACTAGAGCCAAACCAGAAGCTTAGTGATGATAGTAGGGGAGCTATTGTTGACAGGGGGAGTTATCAGGGAGTAATGGGTACGCTCATTTACTTATCCCATTCTTGTCCTAACATTGCCATGGCAGTTAGTGTGGTTAGCCAGTTCATGCATGCACCTCACGAGACACACTTGGCTGCAGTAATGTGCATCCTTAAGTACTTGAAATCTTTTTCGGAAAAGAGTCTATTTTTTTAAACATGATCATCTTCGGGTGGAAACTTATACAGATGCAGATTAGGCATGATTAGTACTAATGGAAGGTCCACATCTGGTTATTGTACCTTTGTTGGAGGTAATTTGGTTACTTGGAGGAGCAAGAAACAAAATGTAGTCGCCCGGTCTAGTGCAGAGGCCGAGTTTAGAGCCATGGCACAAGGTGTATGTGAACTTTTATGGGTCAAGTTGCTGCTAAGTGATCTGGGGATTAGTCATATTGATTCCATGCGACTTTACTGTGGTAATAAGGCTGCTATTAACATAACTCACAATCTAGTTCAGCATGACCGAACGAAACATGTGGAGATTAATCGCCACTTCATTAAGGAGAAACTCACCAGTGGCACTATATGTACTCCTTTTGTGAAGTCAGCTGAACAACTGGCAAACATTCTCACCAAGAGAATTGGAAGCAAACCATTCTATGTGCATGGCAAGTTAGGCATGAGAGACATCTTCGTACCAGCTTGAGGGGGAGTGTTACAATAATATCTTTGGTTATTGTGTATTGATTATTCTATTAGCTGTTATTTCCTTATCCTGTTATTTTCTTATTTGTGCCTCCAAGGCTTCCATTGTAAGTTACTTATTATCAATATAAAAGGGGATGATTGTCTAATCATTCCCTAAGTTTTTCTCTCTCAAACAAACAATAGCAACTGTTGGTTTACTGGTGAATTGCCAGTTATGGTGGTCTTCACTCTTTAGAAGCCATGATAAGCAATGATTGAATGTGTGTTTCATACTCTTGGAAATTTTGTGGTCTAAGCAATTTGTATTGGAACCCACATATGAGTCTAATACCATACTGACACTTAACAATTGTCCACTAGGGAATCTTTGAGACTCATGGACGCTTTGATCTCATTGTTTTACCACTGGATTAAAGGTGGGGAGTTTCAGATCCTTGTAGGCATTTGTGGAGACTTAACTTTTTCTTCAATTTTCCTGTTTAATTTTTGTCCAAATGTCTAGTGAAGTATTTTCCATGTGACAGTTAGCTTGTACTAATAATTTATTTTAATTTGTTGTAGAGGTGTTGAAAGGGGATTTAAGGGCAACTCTTATCCTAGGCTTGTGAAGATGGTTCTATCTGCCACGCTAACCCAAGATCCATGCAAGCTTGCCCAGCTTAATCTGCATCACCCTTTGTCGTTGACAACTGGGCAAAGACGTTATCAGCTCCCTGAACAACTAGAATCTTTCAAATTGGTATGATCTCATAACTATACTAGTAAATATGTAATACTTTGTATAAATGCTTTTGGTCATTTTCAAATCTCGTGGGTTGTACTACTTTTTACTGCATTTGCATTTTGGCTGTGTGATTCAAATTAATGAGATGAGTTGAGCTAAGTGGTGGGTAGCTCAAGTTTGGCTTAATGAAATTGAAACTTAAGCTGGAGCTCAGCTCATTTATTTTATGAGCAATCTCAGCAGACCTTCTAGTTAATCCAACCTTGGCGCAAGCTCGATAGGCTTGGGATACCTGATAAGCTTATTGAGCTCAATAGATTAACAAGTTAATGATGGTGCTTGGCTTGTTTATCTCATGAGAAATCATGGGCTAACCTCTGATTGAGCAAATCATGGCCATACTTAAGTAGATAGATTTGTCTTGCGGCGCTTATTGGGTGTGTAAAAAAGACCTGCAATGGCAGAGATGGGAACTTTACAAAGAGCAACTTCTGTCGAAGTTTGAGAATAAATTAGAGTCTCGACGCCTAATGCATTAAAAGAAAACAAACTTATTATTCATTATTCAGGCACCAGGTACAAAAAACTATTTCTTTTAATGCATTGGGAGTCAAGATTCTAATTATTCAGGCACCGTGTATGAAAAGCTTGCAATTTAGAAAGTGATGCTGCTAAAACTTATCATTTTCCTTGCATGCTGATCTTTTAAAAATGGAGTCATAATTCTATTCATGACCCAAGGTTTTAAATCTAAATGTCTATTTCAGTTGTTGGTTATGTTTAAAATAGAAGCAAAATCTGTATTCCTGAACATTATTTGTTGAAATGGTTGTGAAAAACTGAAACCAAGAAGCATTGGTATGGCTTGAGATCATATCAAAGACGTTCAAGTTCTTGAGTCTGTTCAAATGTACATCCTTGATTGGGTGATCTGCTTCCTTTGTTCTGATTAAATTTAGTATGACTTGTGCACCTTTAATCTCATTTTTGGCATGAATTTTTATGCTTACAAAATTCAAATGGCACATCAAATTTATTTAAACAGATGGGTATTTTGTTGTTATGCCTCTTCTTATTGTTTTTATTTTTTATTTTTGGTTTTCATTTAGGTTATCCTCTTTTCTTTTCTTTTTTGGGTAGGATTTGGCCTAAGCTCAATAACTCACAACCTAAGTTTCATGCTTCTTATATTGCTATAGTTTTATGATTTGATAATCATTGAAGAGACTACTGTGCTAAGAGTAATTTTTATTTAGTTTTAACATACAACATTTTGTATAAGATTGAATGGAGATTGGTTAGCTAGGAACTATGAAGCACCACCACTTCAAAATAGGTGCCGTAGCCATGTTTGAGACACGAACCCGGCTGGAATAATGATGGGAGAAAACATTTTCTATAAGACTTAATGGACATTGGTTAGTGAAGAACTATGAAGCACCGACACTTCAAAATAAGTGTTGTAGTTGTGTCAGAAGCATTTTTTTAATAATATTTTTTGGGGGACACGTCGGGTCATACTTTGAGACACAACGGGGTCATTTTAATTTTTCAAACCTAATTTTGAGGGTTATATTATAATATTTGGAAACAGCAGAGTTGAATTTAATAAAAAAAAATATAAAACTCATATCAAACCATTGACAATGCAACATAGATCTAAATACAATTGTGAATTTGAGAGAAAGCCTTCTAATAATTTCTGGAACGTGTAATGCAATGCAACACAAATCTAGTATTTGGCTTATTTAAATCTAGTTTGTTTGTGTTTTTCTTTGAATGCTAGTTTTATTAATTTTGGCTATTTGTGGATGTATTACTAATATAAATAGCAAATAAAATATATAATTTTTTTTTGACGTATCCCTATCGTGTTCATGTCTTAATCGTTTTTGAAATCGCCATGTCTCATGTTTGTGTCTATATCTGTATCCGTGCTTCCTAAGTTAAGAATCATCGACATGGACATGTTCACATGTAAATTTTCAAAAAATGCAAGACACGACACATAAAAGACATGCAAAAAAAAAAAGAAAAAAAGAAGTGTATGTTATATATATGGTTATTTAATGTAATGTAACACAACACTAACTAAAATTGAAATAACAACATATTCCTTAACATAATAATCACAATTACAATTACACTAGACCATCCTATAATATAACAAATTTATAGCTACAATCACAATAGCGTATCTTATTACATAAATTAGGTGTGTTCACCAAAACGTGAAACCCAGCCTATCTGACTAGACTGCCCGACCCGATGAGCAGCGGTCGGCTGCAATTTGTTAAAATATAATTTTTTGGGTATTGGTTCAATTAACGGGTTTAGATATTTGGGACCCGTTGAAACCGAACCGACTGAATATATATTGTAAAAACGTTACCTTGCCTCCTATCAAGTTTTTATTGGTCTTGGGGATTGCACATTATCTGCGTGGCACCTGTGTTATGATATCTGGAAAACTCTCAAACTTGTTTCTCTTTTATCTAAACGTCAATCTCAAAACTCTCAACTACTTTATCTTTTTTTTAGGCATTGTATCTATCCTTCTCTTATTCTCTCTCTTTCTGTCAACAAATTTCTTTTTTTCCGTGTATCTCTCTTTGTTATTCCCTCGTTCTCTCTATTCTCTCTCACTTACTGTTAACCACTTTCTCTCTCTCCCATGCATCTCTCTTTCAGCTTGCAATTTAGAAAGTGATGCTGCTAAAACTTATCATTTTCCTTGCATGCTGATCTTTTAAAAATGGAGTCATAATTCTATTCATGACCCAAGGTTTTAAATCTAAATGTCTATTTCAGTTGTTGGTTATGTTTAAAATAGAAGCAAAATCTGTATTCCTGAACATTATTTGTTGAAATGGTTGTGAAAAACTGAAACCAAGGCATTGGTATGGCTTGAGATCATATCAAAGATGTTCAAGTTCTTGAGTCTGTTCAAATGTACATCCTTAATTGGGTGATCTGCTTCCTTTGTTCTGATTAAATTTAGTATGACTTGTCCACCTTTAATCTCATTTTTGGCATGAATTTTTATGCTTACAAAAATCAAATGGCACATCAAATTTATTTAAACAGATGGGTATTTTGTTGTTATGCCTCTTCTTATTGTTTTTATTTTTTATTTTTGGTTTTCATTTAGGTTATCCTCTTTTCTTTTCTTTTTTGGGTAGGATTTGGCCTAAGCTCAATAACTCACAACCTAAGTTTCATGCTTCTTATATTGCTATAGTTTTATGATTTGATAATCATTGAAGAGACTATTGTGCTAAGAGTAATTTTTATTTAGTTTTAACATACAACATTTTGTATAAGATTGAATGGAGATTGGTTAGCTAGGAACTATGAAGCACCACCACTTCAAAATAGGTGCCGTAGCCATGTTTGAGACACGAACACGGCTGGAATAATGATGGGAGAAAACATTTTCTATAAGACTTAATGGAGATTGGTTAGTGAAGAACTTATTAGCTGTTATTTCCTTATCCTGTTATTTTCTTATTTGTGCCTCCAAGGCTTCCATTGTAAGTTACTTATTATCAATATAAAAGGGGATAATTGTCTAATCATTCCCTAAGTTTTTCTCTCTCAAACAAACAATAGCAACTGTTGGTTTACTGGTGAATGGCCAGTTATGGTGGTCTTCACTCTTTAGAAGCCATGATAAGCAAACCCTCCCCTGGCCCCCCCGCCGGACCTCAACCTAGTCCGCCGGACCTCTACACATACCTTGATCACTCTGCATGTGCTTCCTCCACAGCTCCGAATACCAGAAAGTTCTTCTTATAAACCCGGTCCTCTTGCCTCTACTCCATGAACTGGTCCGGTTCAACGCATCCTTGCCTCTACTCCACCCACGCACCGCCGCCACACACTTCGTCGATCGAGATTGGCGGCCACATCTTCAATTTCCTCTTCGCGACGCAGGACGCCTCGACTTCCTCGCTGCTGTGGGCGGTGGGTTTCCTCGACACTCACCCGGAGGTCCTCGCCAAGGTCCGCCGTGAGGTGGCGGCGATCTGGTCTCCGGAATCGAACACTCAGATCTCCTCCGAACAATTGAGGGAAATGAAATACACCGAGGCTGTGGCGCGTGAGGTCGTGAGAATACGTGCTCCGGCGACTCTCGTACCTCACGTCGCCGGCGAGGAATTCAAGCTGACGGAGACTTACACTATTCCCAAGGGTGCGATCGTTTGACATATAAAGCATATGTTGAGGACGAAGAAGATGAAAGGACTGAAGCAGAATCTTTGGATACAGACGCTTCGGATGATGAGTTATTTGATTCAGAGACCTTGGATAGAGTCGAGTGGAGAAGGAGTCCTGCGGCCGATCCCATTTGATGGGACTTAAGGCTTGGCTTGGTTTGGTTTGGTTTATGGTGATTTCGTTGGGAATACGCATCAAATGATTGATCTTGAAGCTTCAAGAACGATGATGGTAAAATTGCAGATGGTTGGATGCGGTAGTGATGTCAATTGATTTAGATCTATTGATCCTCAAGTTTAGTTTTTATTTTAATTTAAGTTTTTTTTTTTTTAGTTTAGTTAATTTTTTTTGGTATACCAGAATCATGTTTATATGGAAGTGTTTTTTGTTCTTCTTTTGGTCATTGAATCTGTTGAATGTTGTGAATCTAAAATTGCTTTTCCAATTGTTTTGATATTTGGCTTTTGTAATTTCGAAACCGTTCGAATCCGACCACCAAACCAAAGGAGATGGATGGACAGTTTCGAATTAACATGCGGTTGGACATGATTGAACATGTTTCCAAACCAAACAATTTCGATCAAGTAGCGGGTTTGAGTCAAACCACACTTGACTCGACCTGTGAACACCCCTAACATAAATGTGAGGGTTAATTACCCTTTTAGTCCCAAAGTATCAAGTTTGTGTCATTGTTGTCCCCAGTGATTAAATTGTGTCGATTTAGTCCTCCACCTAACTTCATTTTAGATGACGTTAAAGTTGGGGGTAAATGTGAAAATTTGATTAAAAAATTA